TGAATTAGCAAAATACATTTCAAATGAAAGATCTGCTTTGAAAGAGCTTTCTATTAAGGTGTCAAGATAAGGAACCTCCATTGGAGGTCATCGTACTTTCTAGAAGATAGTAGAGAGAAGAGGAGAGAGAATGAAGAAGAGAGAATGGAAATGAATTCTGTTATTTTCATTCAGTGATGTAACAGTACATATATACATTCAACTCACACGTGCACTTGACCAACTAACCTAACTGTGCACGTGACTCTTAATACTCCCCCTTTAGCTGGAGGGTGGTATACATCTAACACTCCTAGTTTGGATAACAGATAATGATGTTGTGATGCTCCTAATCCTTTAGTGAATAAATCTGCCAGTTGTTGTTTGCTCCCCAAGCACTCTGGTTGTATTAGCCCATTCTTGATCTTTTTCCTAATGAAATGACAATCAATATAGATGTGTTTTGTTCTTTTGTGGTAGATCGGGTTTGCTACAATTTGTATGGCCGCCTTGCTATCACTGAACAATTTAATTGGCTTTGATACTTCCACATTCAACTCTCATAGTAATCCTTCTAGCCAGACTACTTCAGCTAATGTTGCTGCCATGCTTCTATACTCAGCTTCAACTGAGCTTCTGCCTATAGTCTACTGCTTCTTGGATTTCCAAGATATTAAAAAGTCTCCTAGCTTGGCTGCAAATCTTGTGACTGACCTCCTTGTGTTCGGACAGGCAACCCAATCTGAGTCACAAAAGGCTTCCAATTGTCCTATGTGTGATCCTCTTTTCAAGAGTATTCCCTGTCTAGGTGACCCTTTTATATATCTGATCAACCTCAAGGCTGCATTCCAATGTGATAGTTTGGGTTGCTGCATGAACTGACTCAGTACTTGCACTGCAAAACTTATGTCTGGTCTGGTAATAGTCAAATAGAGCAATTTTTCCACTAGCTTCTGATAACTAACAATATCCGTCAATTGTTTATCATCAGACCTTCCCACATGAGTGGCATACTCAACAGTGGTGAGTTTGAGATTCATCTCTAAAGGTGTAGTAGTAGGTTTGGATCCACTAAGGCCGATGTCAGCTAATAACTCTAAAGCATATTTCTTTTGGTTGAGTACGATCCCAGATTGTGATCTTAACAACTCAATCCCTAAGAAATATCCCAACTGTCCCAAATCATTCACCTTGGACTTGTTATGGAGTGTGGCTTTAGCTTCCTCAATTAATTTCTCATTGCTACCTGTGATGAGGATATCATCTACGTATACTAGGACAATGACTATATCATTAGCAGCCCTCTTTGTGAACAAAGAGTGATCATAGGAACTCTGATTGTAGCCTGCACCTATCAAGGCGTCAGTAAGTTTGATGTTCCATTGTCGTGAAGCCTGCTTCAATCCATATAGTGATTTGAAAAGCTTACATACCTTGTACTCCCCCTATCTGTGAAAACCCTGTGGGAGATCCATGTATACCTCTTCAAATAAATCTCCTTGTAGAAAGGCATTATTGGCATCCATTTGTGATAATTCCCAATCTTTTGAGGCTGCCAGTGCTATAACTATCCTCACAGTTACTATTTTGGCAACTGGGGAGAATGTTTTATGATAGTCCAAGCCCTCTTATTGTGTATATCCCTTTGCCACCAACCCGGCCTTGTATTTATCTACCTCTCCATTGGCTTTATACTTAATTTTATACACCCACTTAGAGCCTACTATTTGCTTGCCCACTGGGAGATCAACAACCTCCCAAGTATGGTTGTTTTGCAATGCACTGATTTCTTGCTTCATGGCTTCCACCCACTTCTCCTCTTGAGTTGCTTCTTTGAAGCTTCTTGGTTCAGTAAAGGTTGTAACAAGTCCAACATATGTCTGATAGGTAGGATAAAGGTGATTATATGCCACATAGTTGGTGATAGGATATTTGCAAAATGCTGAAGATTTCTTCCCATCGACATAATCCTTTAGCCATGAAGGAGGCTTTGTCACTCTACTAGGTCTGCTGCTATCCATTTCTGAACCAACAGGTTGTTCCCCTGCAGTTTGGAAATCTGTGAAGGTTTCATGTTGAGTCTGTTCATCTAAGAATTCAGGCTCTAGCTTTGAGTTGATATCATCTTCCTCTAAATGTGTTGCTTCTGAATTGGTATCAATGGTTGTCTCCTGATCAATAGTTACATACTGCTCGATAGATGGGCTATACTGAAAATTCTCTTCTGAATTGGCTGATGGCACATCCTTATGTGCTATAGTATCTGCTAGGAATAAGTCATCTTCCCAAATATTTTCATGCTTTTTTCTTTGAAAGGAAATATATCCTCTCTAAAAGACACATCTCTGCCTACAAAAAAGAGCTGTGACTCCAAATCATACAATCTATATTCCTTTTGTATTTTTGAGTAGCCTATGAATACTGTCTTTTTTGCTCTTGCAGCAAACTTATCTTCCCTTGGTAAGACACTAGCATAACACAAACATCCAAACACTCTTAGATGCTCCGTTTTAGGCACCTTTCCATGCAATATTTCATAGGGTGATTTGCCGTTTAGTACTGCAGTATGAAGTTTGTTAATCAAATAGACTACAGTTCTAATGCATTCACCCCAAAATCTAATTGGGACAACACTTTGAAGTTTTAGAGCCCTTGCAACTTCAAGAATATTCCTATGTTTTCTCTCTACAGTTCTATTTTATTGTGGCGTATATGGACAACTACTTTGATGAATCACTCCAACACCGTAAAGTAAATCATTACATTTAGAATTAAAGAACTCTGTGCCATTGTCTGATCTCAACACCTTAACTGTCATACCAAACTGATTCTTTTTCATTGAGAAGAAATTTGTCAATACAACCAATACTTCATGCTTAGACTGTATTAGGCAAATCCAAGTGTACCTACTAAAGTCAACAACAATTGTGACAAAGTAATGCTTCTTATCATATGTAGGTCTCTTATAGGGACCCCTGCATCTACATGCACAAGCTAAAAAATACAGTCTGATTTACTGCTACTAACAGGAAAGATTGATCTATGTTGTTTTGCCATTGGACACACTTGACATTCCTGTTGCACATACTCATCCGCTAGACTTCTCAACGTAAGTATGTGTTGCATTGCCTTCATGGAAGGATGTCCTAGTCTTGAGTGCCACAATTTTGTGTCATGTTTTCCTTTTATTACTGCTGCTCCTACTACTGGTTTTGTATGTTCTTGGAGAATGTAGAAACCATCAGATTCTCTACCAATCCCCATCACCTTGTCATTGTAAAGACCCTGAAGAAGACAGAAATTATGAAAGAATTTTATTGTACAAACAAGATCCTTGGTCATCTTGGCTATTGAAAGCAGATTAAACTTGAAATCTCGCACATGTAAGACATTTTTGATCCTCTAACCTCCTAAAATTTTTGCATCTCCTATATCAGTTATCTATGACTTGTTACCATTTGGCACCTACACTTTTCTACCTTCCTGATTCCCTAATTTCCTAATGCCAATTAGTTCTGTTTTACAGGAAGTAATATGATGAGATGCCCCTGAATCTATAATCTATTCAATACCATAAGTTTTAGATAACATGGAAACAATACCTGCCATATTGGCTTTGCAATCACCAGATGATGCCGATTTGTTTAACAAATTCACTAGCTGCTTATACTCCTCTTCTGTAAAGAAATGGCCTTATGGCTGTGGTTCTCTCAACTGTTGTGTTGTTCACATAGGTTCTGAAACCAATACCCTGCATTGTCTTCTTTTTACTTTTGAAATCAGGTAGATATCCCACAATTTTGTAACAATTTTCCTTTTGATGCCCCTTATACCCATGGTGTTCACAAATCAAAACAAGTTTGTTTCCTTTCATCATTTGTCCTCTTCCAGCTAATATAGTTAATGGTTCCTTGTTCAGGTCCATTACACCAAGAGCTCGTTGACTCTCTTCTTGTATTACTAGGGTATATGCTTGATTTACTATTACCACAGTAGTTTTTAGTGGAATTTGACTACGAACATGTGCATAAGTCTCATTTAATCCAACTAGAAACTGCACTAAACGCTGCTGATAGAATATTTCAAAAAACGGTTCTGATTCTTTGCAATTACAACCACGACCTAGTATCAAGGTGTCCTATTCATCCCAAAGATCTTTCATTCTAGTGAAACAAGTAGTAACAGAATTCGTACCTTGAGTTAGGGTTCCAATTTGAGTCCAAAGATGATAGAATCTGGTTAAATTCGATTTGCCAAACCTTTCCTTGAACTCAGCCCATACCTTTGAAGCATCTGATGCATAGACTATGCTCGACAACAATTCCTGCGAAATACTTCCTCCAATCCATGAAAGTACCACAACATTATATTGCTCCCACAGATATGCTAATTCTCCTTTGTACAAGCTCTTCACACACGTTCCTTCTACAAAACCTAACTTGTTTTTCCCCAATAAAGCCAAACGCATCGACCTACTCCACAATCCGTAATTTTCTGGACATGTGAGCTTGATATCTATCAAAATTGCTCTAGGTGTATCAGACGGCTGAAGGTAGAGAGGATGACGATGATCGATTTGAGGTGTCGAGGTATCTCCCATGGCGGATATTCCTAGAACTTGTAACTGTGAATCAACTAAGTGAAGAAGAAGCTCGCTACTCTGATACCATGTCAAGATAAGGAACCTCCATTGGAGGTCATCGTATTTTCTAGAAGATAGTAGAGAGGAGAGAGAAGAGAGAATGAAGAAGAGAAAATGGAAATGAATTCTGTTGTTCTCATTCTGTGATGTAACAGTACATATATACATTCAACTCACACATGCACATGACCAACTAACCTAACTGTGCACGTGACTCTTAATAGAAGGAATTCGCGTTCTTCAGTGGAAGCCGTCTAAATTTTTGGCAACAATTACTCTACTATCGTGAGTCTAATCTCTCCCTTCTTTGTCTAGCTAGCTAACTTTTTCTCTTTCACAGGGAAAAAAAGTAACAACAAAAGAGAAAAAAGAACTGATTAATCACTTTTTCCTAATAAGGTGTTCCTGTCAGGTCAACTTCACGAAGTCGCCAAAGAAGACCAAGCGCCAATGACATGGAAAATGTAGTTAGTGACGCGCAAATGGTTAAGCGAAAGACATTACTATAGGACTGGTGAGTTGATGGTGTACACTTGTTTTGTGTCACAGCGATCAAGAAGTTGGAAGCGCTTCTTTTTGATGCTCTTGAATATTTAGGTAAGATTTCATACAATCCTAATTCATTGTTCAGTTCTTAAATTACTTTTTTTTTTATGTTTTTAATCATCTTTCCATGTCTGCTGTTGCATTGCAGTGCCTCCATTGAAACACATCCGAGACAAAAAGTTTGCAGTTAAGTTTGCAGAATGCCTTTGCGAGAAAATAGAAAGTCTGAATGACAAAGAAGTTGACTCCATTGTTAACCGTCCTCCGCTTGAAGCAGCAAGTTATGGCACCTATGAGCTTGTTGAAATTATTGTCAGAAGATTTCCTTCGTTAGCTTACTGTTATGATCGAGATCAAAAGAATATATTTCACATTGCAATAGAGAATCGTTGCGAAAGTGTGTTTAACTTGGTCTATCAGATGACCGAGCATCGCCACCAGTTTATGATTTCAGTAGACTCCTTAATTTGGCAATACCATGTTGCATTTAGCTGGAAAATTGGCGCCACAAAGTAAGTTAAGCCTTGTCTCTGGACCAGCTCTTCAGATGCAACGAGAATTACAGTGGTTAAGGTGATTAAACTCCACCCTTATCAAATTTATGTCGTTATGTGATGAAGGATTAGTACTTTCCTTTCGTGATTTTGGTTGTACATGGAATATATTAGGCCAAATATATATATATATATACGGCCCCTTGGTTTCAGTTTCCATTTTAGCACTTCAACTAAGGTCATTACCTATTGAATACTCAAACTCTAACAAAAATATACCTATTGAACACAAATGCTGACATGACATAGTATGTGAAATCACACCCTTTTCTGAGAGCGTGGAAAGGAAAAGCAAAGAAAATAATTTTTTTAATTTTAGATTTTTATCTTCTCTCCTTAATTTTAATTTTTGAGTTTAATTAGGAAATAATTTTTTGTTGTCATCACCTTTAAGACAGCTCCCCCGATAGCCACGGCCTCCGACACCAACTCCATCTCCTTTGGTTTGGAGTTCTAATTTCATTTTAGAGCATGGATTCCTTCACTGAATTGATTTTATTCATCGTTTTTGCTACCTAAGAATCTAATTTGAGGAGAAAATTTTGACTTCCATTGGAGCATCGAGCTTGAATTAAAAAAAATGCCAAAAAAAAAAAACAGATCTGAAAATTTTGAGTAGAAATCAATTGGTTGTTATAGATTCTAGCTGGAAACATTTGTTAGAATCTGAATCTAAAGTTTGGGTGCATTTTTGAGCTGGTTCGAATTGGATTCTTGGATCAAATATTTCAGAGCTCGACGAGGAAGATGACCTGAGTTTTCTCAAGTTCGAGTCTGTTTGATCAAATTAATTACTGAATTTTGTTCTATTTGTCATTCAGAGTATATATTTACATTTGAGTTTGATTGGAGATGTATAGGCTGAGCTGGGATTAACAGAAACCTAAGTAAAATTGAAAAACACCAACTCAGTTTATTTTAATTTGTTATTGGTTTGTTCAGATAAATTGCGGTTGCTTCTACTCGTTATTTGGAGAAGATGGGGCAGGAAAAATTTGGCCAGTGAGGAGTTGGGGACGACGACGGTAAGGACTGCGCAGGGTTGGGGACAATGCAGATAGGAAATTTTTCTTTTTTCTTTTTTTTTTTCCCTTCAGATTTTGGCTTTTTCTTGTCTTTGTTGTCATGTCATTTTATCATTGGTCTTGTTTGCCAAGTAGATAGCAACTGGTATTCACGCACCAAAGATGATTTGGGATTATCAAAGCTGTGTTTAATAGGTACATTTTTGTTGGAGTTGAAGTATTCAACGGGTAATGGCCTTAGTTGAAGTGTCAAAATGAAAATTGAAGCCAATTTTAAGGGGCTGCGTATATATTTGGCCGTATTATTGCTATGTTCTTAATTAGGAAGTAAAGAAGTTTGTACCACCTTCGTACTGGGAATTTTTAGACAATGCCGATAGACCTCCGCATGTGGTATTTACTGAGGAACATGACAAGTTGAAGACAGGGGGAGAGAAATGGATGAAAGATACATCAAACTCGTGCACAATAGCAGCAGCACTCATTGCTACCATCGCATTTGCAGCAGCGATCACTGTACCAGGTGGCAACGACGAACAGAGTGGACTTCCCATTTTCTCTGGGAACAATATTGGTTTCATCATTTTTGCTATCTCGAATGCAGCATCATTGTTCGCTTCGAGTACCTCTCCGCTAGTGTTCTTGTCCGTTTTAACGTCTCATCATGCAGAAGAAGATTTCCTGCACGCGTTGCCTAGTAGTCTAATTCTTTGACTTCAGCGCAACGGTGTATCTTGTGTTTGGGCAGAAGAAAGCATGGGTTCTTGTTCCAGTGGCTACAATGGCTTGTCTACCAATTACTTCATTTGTGCTTCTGCACTTTCCTCTCCTTGTTGCTTTGGTTTCCTCTAACGGGCCTGGCATTTTTGGAAAGAAGAGTAATCGCTTGTTTTATTGAAGAATTTACAAGCAATATACCTCTTGTATATAAAGTACTACTCCTAATTTGCAGAAAGCTACTATTAGGGTGGCAAAATAGTTAAAAAAAAACAGTTAACCACTCATATTATTCACTAAAAAATGGATTGGATAATGAACTTTTTAAATACGGGTCAAATATAGATAAGAACCATATTATCCATTTAGAAAATGGATAACCAATAAGTAACCAAATGGATAACCAATTGGTTTACCTTTTACATTTGTAAAGCTTCAAATTGGGAGTTTCTCAAGTTTGGGAGATTAGTAATTCTCCCAAAAATGATCATATTCAAGAAGTCATGGATACTCATATTATCCGGCGGTTAACCCATTTTTTATATGTATTAAATATGGATCGGGTTGGATAATTTATCCGTTTTTTTATTATCCGTTTTTGACCCGAATCATGTCCAACCCGCCCCACTCCTAGCTACTGTCGTTCAAATATAGAATCAGAAAATATGAGATAATTCTTTGCTCTGGACTTTTGATTATTAGATCACAAAGTCTGATTTTATCATCTTCTTGTTATTGAGCATATAAAATAGGTATCCTATGTTTAGAAACAAATTCTTTTCAAAATCAGTTCCCAATCAAAATTAATCTTTTTCTCTCGAGTTTCCCCATCAGACGAGTAAGCATGTCCAGCTCCTGTGCACCACTCAATCCTCTCCATCCACGTGTCATCCATCCAATGCATGTCAACTTTAGTTTTTCATGAGTTTAAGAAAGGGAAAAAGGCTTTTGAACTTAGTCACTTTGTTTCAATTTATCTAAACATGTTTGACTTGGCACAGAGTTTAAGAAAAAATGAAAGTTTTTGGAATTTGTGGTCCTAAACAAGTTAAAAAGGGGCCCAGACTATTTGTGTGGTTATAAAAGTTTCTCATTAAGGGTAGAATTGTAAGTTTAAGTTAAATTGTTTTCAAATTTAGAAATGAGTCATTCTTTTTGGAACTAACCAAAAAGAAAATAAGTTCACATAAACTGGAACGGAGGGAGTAATATTTATGTAGTTGCAATTCATCATATTAAAAGTAAAGGAGATATTTTTTGTTTTTTTGGTAATTTAAAGAAGATATTTTAGAATTAAATTATTTTTAAATATAAACATAATATTCTTTCGGGACGGACTAAGAGCCTGTTTGGATTAGTTGATTGTAAATAGCTGATAAGCTTGAAGTGATGAGTTGTAAGTAGTGTATAATAGATTGTTTTGACTAATTTTTTGTGGGGATGGAGCGCGCGCGCGCGCACACACACATATATATTGCATATTTATAGTTTTCTTCAATTTTTATGCAAATTTACCTGTTTAAAAATATTTACTGTCATTATATTATTTTATAAAAATATTAAAAATTAAATACCTATAGGGCTTACGCCCCGTGCCTCGGGACTTACGCCTCGCCTTACGCCCACGCCTTTTAAAACACTGGTGATGAAAAATATTTTTAAGTGCTGAAACTAATTTTTAAATAAGTATTTAAGCGTTTGGATAGACGTAATGAAACCGATAATAAGCAGTTGATATATTTGGTAGAAAAGTTCTGATAAGCTGTTCTACTATTAAAATGACTAAAATACCCTTAAAAACTTTACAAAAAATTATAAATTAAAAAGTTTTTTTTATAAAGGAAAGGATGAACGAATATAGAATGAAGAAAAAGTTAAGAAATTTGCTTTGGAAAAAAAAAATTTGTGAATTAAAAAATATTATTAAAGATAAATTAGTAATAGTCTCGGTCAAACTAAAACTGTTCATAAGCTAAAAAATCATAAGTTGGGAGTGACTGACTTATGACTGATTTTAGCTTATAACTATTTGGCTTCTTATACTTCTTATAAGCATTTTGGGTGTTTAAAAATCGCATAAATAAGCCCAAAAATACTTGTAACTAAGTTTGATCAATTATAAGCTAAAATGCCCTCCGAAAAGGAAAAAAACAGAGGGAGTGGAGTATTTATTTATCCGTTTGCTCATCTTTCTCTCGTTACACCGTCATTTTCTTTCCACAAGTTTTCTATATACATCGTCATGCTTCTAAAATTAGCACCAGCTTTCGCCTTGTTGAATAGCCATGGGGAAAATCTAAGTCCCATGTTATCAACTTCTTCAAATGGGTCTTTTCTGAAGAATTTCTATGCAAAAAGTGGAAAAGGATTATTAGTCTTATGTGCTTCAAAGGGGTCAAACACCAAGCCTTTAACAGGAGTTGTATTTGAGCCTTTTGAAGAGGTGAAGAAAGAGCTTATGCTTATACCTACTGTTCCTCAAGTTTCTCTTGCTAGACATAAATACTCTGATCAATGTGAAGCAGCTGTTAATGAACAAATCAAGTACGTTTTTTAACATCCCTTAGTTTTAACACTCCCCCCGCGAACCCCTTTTGGATGTTTCCCCGAACCCCTTTTGGATGTTTAATTTTTAGACAAATTATTTTTTGAAAATATAAGTTACTTACTCTGTTGTCCCAATTAATATGATGCACTTTAAATTTTACTCTGCCCAATAAAATGATAAACTATTATATTTAGAAATTATTTTACTTTAAATTTACTATTTTATACCGTGGTAGAGTTACATGAAAAAATACACTGTAGCTAGATAGTTTGAATCCTTTTGGCTTCTTTGTGTATTTATTTCTTTAAATTTCAACTCACCTTACTGAAAATATTGGCTTGTCACTGATTTTGTCTTTAATAAAATGATTTATAGTGGTACAATTATTTTACTTGTCACCCAGTCAAATTACATCACATAAAATAAAACGGAGGGACTATTGGAGGAAATAGGCATGTCTTTTTATAACGTTGAAATTAAGGAAGTGTCTTTTTTAGTTTTGTTACATGTAAATGATAGATCTCTCATTTATAAAAGCAAATCTATCATGTTTAAAAAAGAGTTAGTATCATAAAACTAAAAACAAGCTTGTAATGAACCATTTGACCCGGAGTATTGAATAGTGAAATGAAAGAGGTCCAAATGGAGGGAATTTTGTTGTTTTCTTACATTTCAAAAATTATTATGGTTTGTTTTCTATCTATTAATGGGATTATTTTACAATTTTATGTGATTGCAGTGTGGAATACAATGTTTCATATGTCTACCATGCGATGTATGCCTATTTCTACAGAGATAATGTTGCTCTAAAGGGACTTGCCAGGTAATATTTTCAAAGATTTTCTCGAATTTGATGTGTTTTTGTGATTTTTTAAGTGGTAGTATGTGATTCTAGGTTATTGTTTTGTTGACTTAGGTTTTTCAAAGAATCAAGTGAAGAGGAAAGAGGCCATGCTGAGAAATTGATGGAGTATCAGGTGTTTGACGTTTTGCTATAATGAAAATTTTGTTTAACTCTTTTTCTTTTTCTCTTTTGGGGCTGTGGAGCGGCTAAATCTTAGCATCCGGTTTCATATGTTAATTGAGTTGGTTCTAACTTTATGTGTTTTATGGTTTAGAACAAGCGTGGTGGGAAGGTGAAGCTACAGTCGATTTTGATGCCACTATCTGAGTTTGATCACGCTGAGAAGGGCGATGCATTACATGGTAAGTTTGTTCTGTTCCTTATGTTGTAATGCTATTTTTGTAGTTAGGCTTAAATCTACTCATGGTGCTAGTAGATATGGTTGTCTAGATTTCAAGTTGCTAAAAATGTTCTCTGCTCATCAGAGGGAAAATTAATTATTTGGCAGAGGCCAGCATGTGTCTTGCATAATTTACTAAGAACTGAGTGCTGCTTTATTTTTATGTCCTCATAAACACAAATGCATAATAACTACTATGTCCCCTTCCTTGGAATTTGTGAATTTAGAAATATTGAAGATCTTGTGTTGTTACTTTCTGAAAATAGCAGATTGAGCTTTCAGTTCCTTACCACATGCTTTGTTGAATTTATTGTGAAGCGATGGAGCTTGCACTTTCTTTGGAGAAGTTGACAAATGAAAAGCTGTTAAACTTGCACGCTGTGAGTTCTTCTACTATTCTTATTTTGTTTCTTCCACATTTATTTGGATCAACTTAAAAATAGATAACCATTGTGTTGGTTCCCATTACCAAAATTACAAAGTAAAAAACATGAATTCTTTTGTTTTTACATCCTGGCTTTAGAATATGTCATTTGTGCATTTTGGCTGATATATCCTTTAAAAACAGTTAGCCATACGAAACAATGATGTGCAGTTGGCTGATTTTGTTGAAAGCGAGTACTTGCAAGAACAGGTCTGGGTTTCTGAACTTGAGAAATACTATTTGTTTAACGGGGTTCTTGAGACTTAATATTAAATGCATATGGAGTATCAATGATACTGATTTAAGACATGTTCTCCTTATTAGGTGGAAGCAATCAAGAAGATCTCAGAATATGTGGCTCAGCTGAGAAGAGTGGGCAAAGGACATGGTATAATTGCTCCTTAGTTGTAAATTTTCCATATATCCTATTTGTGTAGACTTACCTATATGTATATTAACCTTTCAACCTCATCGGCTGTAATTTAGGTGTGTGGCACTTCGATAAAATGCTCCTGCAAAAGGAGGAAGCTGTTGCTTGATGGAGAAGATAGACATACTTCCAACTTTGCATTGTCCTCTGCCCTTTTGGAGGATGTTGTCTGGGTATATTTTGGTATTAACACTGCCTATGAGATAAAGGGTGTCTTAGTAGCAGAATGTCCCGGTGTTGTGTACATATAGACCAAATATATTTACTTATCTGCGCTACAATTACTCTTTTACCTGCTGGTATTTGAATCAGTTTAATCTTTCTATCGTGATTGCTAGTTGTAGCTTGAAATGAAAGGTGCATCAAAGACGTCAAATGTAAAGTGAAACTATCAGTTTTGTTTTCTTGAAGGATGTTGGCTCAGTTGGAGAAATAAATGATTGTATTTGAGATGAGGTCGCTTTGTTTCCAGTGTTGGTTTCTGTATTTCTGCAAATTATTGCAGAAAGGAGTCCAAAACTCATTTCTGGTGATGAAAGTAGGCTAAGTGCCAGCCCGGGGATAACGAACTAGTGATGATCTCTTGTTATGTGTTTGTCACTGTGGAGATTTGTGTTTGAAATTCGGATTCCCAACTTTGCTATCAGCCAGTTCCTGGCTTCTTATAATATGACATCTCCAGTTTCGTTGGACAGATATATATATATATCAGCCAGTTCATGGCTTCTCTTAAATTTTTCTTTCAAAAAAAATTTCCATCTAAGTTTTCTATTGTCTCCAACGTGGATGTGTAGCTCAATCCTCAATGGATATGCACTTGTCATAATTGTACGAAAGATTGTATTTTAATTTCAGATGCCTTGAACAGTTTTCCCCTCGCATGTCGCATTTTGATAGTATTGGTTTTATCTTTTTATTTATGGATGTATATGTATTCGCAATACATGACATTCAACAACAACAACGACCCAATAAAATTTCACTAGTGGGGTCTGGGGAGGGTAGTGTGTATGCAGACCTTACCCCTATCCGAGGGGATAAAGAGGCTGTTTCCGAATACATGACATTCAATTTATGAAATTATATTGAACTATCACGGTTGTTTTCTAGGGGTAAGAAATCTGGTAATCAGATTCTAGCTGTGAAATAGTGATTTTAAGTAATCCGTGGATAATTAAACCACATCTTCTAGTAGTACGAACTTGGCTAATTAAATCACATCTTAATTCTATAAAAAATCTCTTTTATTAGTTTCAACATTTTCTTTACTCTTACCGGACTTGTAGCTGTAAGGTTTTCCAAGTAGCTTTTAAGTAACAACTTGTTACTTAAAAATACATCGCATGTGCTAGTTTTTCTCGTCTTTCTTCAAATCGCATGTGCTACTTTACTTTAATATAAAAAGTTAGGATAAAAAAAATGAAAAAAAAGTAATAGATCTACTACATGAAAAAAAAGGTAAAGATAGTGACAGAAAAATCTATGACTGAATTGAATCTTTCGCCTAACTTTCCAACGTAACGATTTAGCTTACTTCCACGTGGCATAACGTCTTTGACTATTGCCACGTGTATCGTCAAAACAAGCCCAATTGTATCATTAGTGGACCCCACAAGTTACCCACACACCTAAAGTTCGCCGTTGCTCCGTCCATCTATAGATTTAACGGCCAGTTAGAGTTGACCTTTAGCATCTATAAAATCCCAAGCGGCTTCTAATAAAGTTAGGGGTATTAAGGCCCGTTTGGTCATAGATTTTGTCATATTTTTTCTAAATATTTTTTGTTAATTAACTGTTTGTTTATTCATATTTTGACAAATTTTTAAATCCTAAAACCAGCTCAAGAGATGTTTTTGGCTCAAAATATTACCGTTTGGTTTTAAAAAAAATTTAAAAATTGCCCCAAACTTTTGTATTTTATAAAAAAAATGCTCACTTTCTGTTATTATGACCCAACTAATCCATATCTACCCACTTTTATCTCGTTAAACTCATGCGTCTTTGCCATTATCTATAAATAGAAGAAAGCCTTCGTCAAAGTTGTTGTGCCAATTTATGGTAATGCACCGGCAAAGATAAAATTTGAAAGTAATTTGCTATGTATAAATTTTTTTCAGAGTTATTGAGTATTTTTGATAATTTTTAAAACTGATGCTCGCATTTCATATTTAAAAAAAAGAAGAAAAGTGAAACACATTTTGAAAACTTATGTGCAACAGAGCTAGGGCCAGACGCTAAGTAACCCACTTTGGCTTCTTCTCGAAGAAAGTATTGTCTCTGTAAATAAACGCAATAGTTTCTAAAATCTGAGGGGGAATCAAATCACGAAGAAAGAGAAATAAATGTTGAAGAACTCCATGAATGTTGCTCAGCTACTACTGCTTCAAGTTCTACTCGCGATTGTGATACACATAAGCGCTGATGAATCCTTTGATGTTCGTCAACATCTATCTACTGTTTCCAGGTCTCTCTCTCTCTCTCTCTCTCTCAATTTGACACTGTTAAAGAGATGTGCATTCCGATATATGCAGCAAGTTTTAATTTGAGTTTAAGTTCTGTTGTAAAACTAATTCATAGTTGGAGTATGAAATCAAAATTATTTAGGATTTGATATTCTAAATAAATTATTTTCCCTTCATATTGGTAGTTCTATGTAAAAGATATTTACACAATCAAATTACTTATTAGATAATCACATATAAATTTTTATACTGTTTGAGCTATGCGAATGTAAAATCTAGAAGTCAGTGGAGTTGCAGAGTGCAACTGTAGTATGAGTGTGGACTAATATAAATATTTATATTTTGAAAAGGATTTAAGTTAATATAGTCAGTGTAGGAATTTTGTACACTGTTTAATTAATTTGACTTGTTATAGCATGTCACTTATGTAATACAGAGAGTTACCCTCTGCAATTATCTTTTTGGGTGACTCAATTGTGTAACATAAGTGCAAAGAGAATTTGAAAGAAAAAAATATATGAATTACACTATTGATTTACTTGGTTATTTGTTTCGTGTGCAGATATGGTGTTGTGAAGGATATATCTGACAATTCCTTTGTACCTTCCCAAATTACAGATCAATGTACTCCTATTCATTTGAATCTTGTGGTGAGTCTTTGTTAGGTGTTTCTACTGGTGAACATTTCTTCTTGTGGTGCCAATGCAAATTGCTTTAGAAATTCAAGTTGTAGTTGTATTTTCTGTAATTACAGACTGATATTGCATTTACTTGTGTTTTTCTGTAATTACATGGAAGCTTATTATTACCTATGCTGAATTGGGAAGCTGTGTGTTCAATAGTATTGTCCTTATTATTCCTCTGAAAGCACCATAACAGCATGGAAATTGTGGACGTGTGCACATGGGGTGCATCAATATTATATCACCTTCTCTTTACATTCTAGGCCTTGAACATATTTTGATATTTTCCTGACTTAAGTCTGTAGACCAATCCTGAAGTTTAGGCTGCCTTTGGGAGTCTATCTGCGCCAAATTGGAGAAATCTTTTGTTTATTTATTTATCTATTTTTTTGTAATGGTGGTGTTTGCGCTAGCTCGCGGCCTTACGCGCTCTTTGACTAATCCACGAGGTACCTGTTAACTTTCATCAGCATAGGTACTTTTGATAAAGTAATGTATATTGAAGTGGGCCAACAAAATGCTGGAAAATAAATATCCATCAGCATAGGTATTAGGTAACTCTACCAAAGGTATTAGGTAACTCTACCAACCAAGATTTAGACAGATGGAAGAATTCACCTTATATTTCTTTGGCTAGAATGCAAAACGTAGTTCCTAAGATAGTTACTCCAGCTCTTTCACCACTAGGCCACCCTCTAGGGGGTGACAAAATCAGAAAAGTCTTATTCTGTAGATGCTAAGTGTATAATACTGAAAGAAAGTTGCAGAAGGTATCCCGTAAATCTAGGTTGCTAGTAAAGTCATCTAATTCACCAAAGGAGTCTAGCTGAAGATTAATCTCACTTATTTGCAGTAGTTACTAATCTCTTCGACTACTCAGAAGTTTGAACAGGATTATCCTCCACTTTTTGTCTCCTGTATCTTGTCCTGCCCTTCCGTTTCATATTAAATATGGGTTCAAGCTTCTTTTCATCCATGTCAGTTACTACTTTTCTCTTAATCTTCCTTCCATTGTCCCTTTTAAACGTTTAGTAGAAAATGCATAGACTTTATTTGCTCGTAAAACTTGCACAAATGTGAATATTGGGGTTCTCTTGTATAAATTATACTTGATATAAAAGGAAATATCTGATGGTTTCTCTCAAGTAATGCTATGCTCATAAGAGATAGTTCTAAATTGACTTATCTTAATGGGTGACTTCTTATTTGGTAGGCACGGCATGGCACTCGTGCTCCTACCAAGAAGAGGATAAGGGAGTTTGAAGCCTTGTCTGCTCGACTGGAAGTCCTTGTACGTGATGCTAAGGAACAGAAGCAGTCTTCGGATAACATTCCTGCTTGGTTAATGGGATGGAGCTCTCCTTGGAAGGGAAAGCGTACGGGTGGAGAGTTGATCCATGAAGGCGAAGACGAGTTATATCATCTTGGTATCAGAGTCCGAGAACAGTTTCCAGACCTGTTTAGTGAAGAATACCACCCTGATATATATTCAATCAAGGCTACCCAGGTTTGACAGATCAGTTATTTGCTTTCTAAATTCTGCCAAGTAATCATCACTTTAAGATCAACACACTTAATGTTAGAGTGGTTTTATTACGCAATGCCTCACAAAGTTTTGAAAATTGCACAAGTTCTTCCTTTACCCACCAAAGCGCATTTTCATTTCTTCATCAAAGGATTCTGCTGCTTTAAGATTCTTTTTGATTTGCAAGATTATAGAACTTGTTAGCATTCCCCTCTTCCTTATAACTGGCAGTTTTCTGATTCTGTCCCAACTTCTTGCTAGCTAATGCGTAGCAATAACTTTTGACTGTCATGGAGATGTTTATAGGTTCCTCGGGCATCAGCTAGCGCTGTGGCATTCGGCATGGGGCTGTTTAGTGGAAAAGGGAAGCTTGGAACCGGGGCTCATCGAGCTTTTGCTGTTACCAGTGAAAGCCGTGCAAGTGATATAGTTCTGAGATTTCATGATTGTTGTCAAAGCTACAAGGTATTCTTGGAAAGTCTGTTTGATGACTGTCTTTATGTAGGTAACTTCAAATTCAATTTGCAGTTAGGTAATTCTTGTGAGGTTTTCTTGTTGGTTGGGACTTGATTTTATAATTGTGAGTACAGCAGACTTGGAAACTAGTGCATTGAACATCTCCCAATACAACATATTCCAGTTTCCATTTTCAGAACTGTTAGAACCTGACTATCAAAGGCCCATAACTGCTTCCATGATCAGTCTGTTTGAATTCCAAGTCGTTGTTCACTGGCTATTATAACTTTTATTATTACTAGTAATCCAAGTACTAAGCATCTATACTTTAGATTAATGCAATTAATGTAAACATGCACATAGAGAGCTGACATAGCCCAAGAGAATTTAGGTTCCTTTTTACTTTGCTATGCCTAGTGGCATTATTGGAATTTCAGCACTAGAAACGGTTTGCTTGTAGAAACTGGTAGTCAATTTTCTCAATTGACTTGACCTCTTTCCTTAACTGACAAGGTTCCCATCTCTTTATAATCTTAACTTTGATCAGACATGCATTTTTCAACAAAATACCTCACTTCCTCTCATCCAATCTTTATTTTGAACATACTCCCTACTAAACCTTATTCTGAATATATCTCCTAACTAACTCTAGTAGGATCTCTTCTCTAGTTAAGTGAGGCAACAGAAATGGGTTGGAAGGAGTAGAAATGAAGAATCATGGGAAACATTTTCTTTTCCTCATACTGTAAATCCAAGAAGACCCTTATCCAGATTTTGAGTTGCTAGTTATCAGAAGTGATATAAAGAAGTTAAAAGGTTTATCTCTAGCAGTCACTAGGTGATACTTGCCTAGAATAAAGTGCAATCTTGTCTGTGTTAATAGAAAAAGTGCCAAGTCCTTGGGGCATTTTACCAGTTTAAAAATTGAAACAGAACCAAAAAAAAAAAAAAGGGAATTCCTTGGGGAATATTTATGACTTAGGTGTCAAAATCCTATTTCAGCTATTCAACGATGTATTTAGTATCAAAGGCCTTGATTATTCACTATTTTCTTGAATTGCACCTCCAGTATCCTATCTTCCCCTCCCTGCATTTTCTGCTTTTCCTGCACCTACTTGTATTACTGCTGATTTGGTTCCTTTCTGACATATGTGACACACTAATGTTTGATGTACATGACATTTCTTTTTGGTGGCAGGATTTTAGGAAAAGTCAGAAGCCAACTGTAGAGAAGCTCAAAGAACCTATATTAGATGAAATTACTCAAGCACTAGTGAGGCAATACGGGCTTAATTTTACTAAACAGGATGTATCTTCCTTATGGTTTCTCTGCAAACAGGTTAGTATTGCAATTATTAGTGTTCCAATGGTGCTAAACCTTTTGCCTTTTCTTTTTTATTTGTTTTGATCCGAGAATAGTTACTTGTCTCTAATTGGCAACTCCTACAGGAAGCTTCCCTGTTGAACATCACCAATCAAGCTTGTAGTCTATTCAGGCCATCTGAGGTACTTTTAAGTTAATCCTCTTTTTCCATGGTTCCTCTTGGACTTAATAAACAGCAGAGAAAGGGAGGAGACATTTGTAGGTTCCTAGATTTTGCTAGTTTTAGTTCTGCTTTGTGTGTTGTAAGGAGCTCTCCTAACTGGGGAAGTTGGGACCTTAAGAGTGATTAGGCTAACTCGATTGATGTTTGATTAAAAGGTAGGTGGCCCTTGTTATAAATAGATTTCTCTATTATACATTGTATCTCCAGCTCTTCATTGGGATAGGAAGTTGAAGCCTTGTTGTTTCCGTCCATCAATCTCCAGCTCTTCATTGGGATAGGAAGTTGAAGCCTTGTTGTTTCCGTCCATCCTTTATGACAAGTATCTTTTTTTAGGTTTCTTTGTTGGAATGGGCCNTTGGATGGTGTTTGCTTTAGTGTATTGACAGCTTAAGTGTGTATTGACAGCTTATTTCTCTTACCTTCCCGTGCAACAAGATTTTAGAGGAAGAGAGAATTGAGAAAAAAGTGAAGCCAACCCCCTAAAACTTGTGCACTTAATCTACAAGAGTCGCTAGATATAGGATGGGAGATTATATCTCTCCTTATTAAAAGGAGGCCATGGATTTCTCTCCTTATTAAAGAAAGGCCAAGTCAACTTCATTATATGTTATATTTCCAATATAACCTGTTAACTTTACCGATTCTGTTCTTATTCCATGACTCTATTGCCTGTGTTATTCTGCTATCCCTTCAACTACTGACTAGAGGATAGTTGGATAAGGCTAGAAAGTGGAGCCTTTATTATACCAATTACTATTTTGTTTAATTATACCAATTACTTGGTATTGTTATTTGTTAGTAACTAGTACCTTCCTTTATTGCTCGCATTCATCTCTCTAGAAATCTTTTTGCCTGTACATATCTTCTATGGAAGCTAATCCTTTAAATGATGGAAATTTGATATCTGGTGTTCTTCGTTTTATGTGCATTCTCCTCCTTTAGAAGGATATGCTTCCGGGAGCTATGAAAAGGCAAGACTACGTTTTGCTCATGCAGAAACTCTACTTCCGTTTTCATGCTTGCTTGGGCTCTTTCTTGAAGAATCTGGTGAGTGCTTATCAATAGGATTGTTTTAGGCTTCTACTGCCTCCGGTTTCTTAATCAATTTTATACACTGAATGTTGCAGAATTTGAACTAATACAAAGAGAGGAGACGTTGCAATTCCCTCGTAAGCCTCCTACAAAGAGAAACTGGCGGGGAAGTATAGTGACACCTTTTGCTGGAAATAACATGCTTGTCCTTTACAGCTGCGTGTCAAATAACTCAAGCAAGTACTTTGTGAAAGTGCTGCACAATGAACGTCCGATTCCTATTCCAGTAAGTTTTCTGATCACATTCTTGTGAACATGAACATCCATGGTCTTTGTCTTGCGATCTAGATCAGCCGGCCTTCAAGTATTTCCCTTTACTTCTCATTTTCATCTGCTGAAAAAAGTTTCACTGGCTGTGATGCCTAGTCTTCCAACTTGTGCCACAAGTGACTCAAATTCATTCTGTTGGAGGTTTCAAAAGCTATATTCTCAAATTCTCATAATATTATTTGTTCACCTCTTTGAAATGTTCCCCTTTTCATCTGTTCTAAGCTTTTGATGCTTCGATTTCTCTTTGCTCATAGGGTTGCAATGGCTCAGATTCTTGCCCATTTGAAGTATTTAAGGTACAACTTCTACATTTCACTAGAGGATTCAATTTACTGTGACATTGGCCATCTCTTACTCGTTACAATGCGTTCCTCCAGGAAAGAATTGTTGCTCCTCACTTGAAACATGACTACAACGCGCTTTGCAACGTAAACTTGGAACAAAAAGAGAAGAATTCTGCCCCCAGCAAGTTATCACAAATGTTTAGTTGGTTTTTCTCCCTGAGAAATGCTGTTACACCCGCTCAGAACGTGGAGCTATAACAACAATTATTACGCCTCAATTTCAAGCATTGGGGAACTTTGTTCTGTGTATTTTATAAGCTGATTCAAGCAGTGGCCAGCATGTGTCTTGGTGTGGTACAATTTCCAAGGTAACTGTCTTGTATAATCAAGTTTTTTGCTGACTGGTCTAACCATAGGGTAGCCTATATAGAATGTATTCAATTACATAGTTTATAGTTGTAGTTTTCACATCCAAAAATGTAATGCTCCATTCATCTAGGTCCTTTGATTTCCCTTACCCTCCGAAGATTGAATTACTTTGTGGATGTATAGAACAAAAACAGTGTTTCCAACTGCCTTAACAAGTAAAAAGACATTCGGGCTAGCTAGGTCGTTAAGCTATTTTTTCAATCTTTTGTCAGTAAAGTTTGAATCTTTGCTACGTAATATTAACCCATTTAATTTGTACTTTGAGCTTATGAGCCACTAGAAATCATCAACCCCATGATTATTCTCCTAAGGAAGCAATATTACCATCAGTTTAGACCCTTTAGCAAGGGCACTTCAGCCAAAAGGTAATCTTCCTTTTTCCTGAGTCAGTATTGATGGTGTCTCCTAATTGCTATCAACCCCACATTGCTGAAGTCCTAATATGGAGTCCGGAACCAAAATATTGTAAATTGACTCAAGAGACAAAAATAGGTGGAAAAAAGTGTTGAGGACCATATTATGTATAACGCATCTAAAATATGCGCTATACCTTAACGGCCAGTTACCCCGTTAAGATATAGCGCATGTAATATATGCGCTATACTCAGTATTTGCAGCCATAATAATTGACTGCATAGCGCATCAATTATATGCGCTATGTATAAACATACCCCCAACCCCCACCTTCAAAATTTTTTTCTTCATCTTCAAATTCCAAGTATCTTTCTTTTCCTTTAAATACCCACTTATGGTTCACTTATGAAGAATTAGCTGAGGCAACAAATGGTTTCTCCTCTGATAGTATTTTGGGTGAAGGTGGGTTTGGATGTGTTTACAAAGGTGTTCTTAGTGATGGAAGGGAAGTCGCTGTCAAACAGCTGAAAAGTGGGAGTGGACAAGGGGGACGTGAGTTCAGAGCAGAAGTTGAGATTATCAGCCGTGTACACCATCGTCATTTGGTTTCGCTCGTTGCTTTTAGACTCAAACTTATGTCATTTTTATTACAGTACAGGAAAATAGAAGATCTTTGTACATAGCGCATATAATTGATGCGCTATGCAGTCAATTATTATGGCTGCACATACAGAGTATAGCGCATATATTACATGCGCTATACTTTAACGGGGTAACTGGCCATTAAGGTGTAGCGCATGTTTAGATGTGTTATACATAATATGGTCAATATTTTTTTCCACCTATTTTTGTCTCTTGAGTCAAAATTTATAGTAACATTTTAGTTCCGGACTCCCTAATATGGAAAGTTTTAGATACACAATTGATCTGAAAACTGATCCGTGACTCACCATAGAGCTGCATTAAAAGCTGGTAAAAGGCAATTGCTGTGTATGTTTGGTGTGGCTTCATTTTTGAAACTATCTATTTGACACTATTTTTCTTTTTGATTATTGAACTTCCAAATTAGACATTGAAATTAATAACAACATGGAATCTTATAGCATGCTATACACATGTAATATCTTTTTATCTACACTTGTCATCATTAAAAGAGAATCTCAACATTTTAAACATTCCTATTATTAATAAGAGGGAATGAGAGCTGCCTCCGGTAAAAATTTGAGCTGCATTCCGGATACAATGTGGGTCACAAGGGTACTTATGTAATTCTGATGAAATGGAGCAATGCTATTGGCTGAAAATTTTGATTATTGTAGCTCCCTTAGAAATTTTTGAACAAGTTGACCAATTTACCTCTGCTCCATATCCCACGTGATCATGACACGCGTAAGGTTCATAATTTATAAATGGGCCCCACACGTAAAAATAGCACGGACTACTTAGTTTTCGGATTGGTAATTCAAAAATAGCCAGCGTTTGCAAAGTTATTAAAAAATAGCCATTATTTTGCTGTAACATGGACCGGTCCAACATAATATACTGGAGATTGGTATACATGTGTATGAACTTCCAGCATATTATGCTAGAGCTCCAATACGCGAAAAGTTCCAGCATAATATACTGGAGATTGGAGCACTTGTGTATGAACTTCCAGCATATTATGCTAGAGCTCCAATACGCGAAAAGTTCCAGCATAATATACTGGAGATTGGAGCACTTGTGTATGAACTTCCAGCATATTATGTTGGACCTTTCAGTATATTATACTGGAACTCTAGTATATTATGTTGGAATATTTTTCGAATTTTGAACAGTATTTTCGTTCAGATTTATCTTTACATGAAAAGTGGCTAAATTTTAATTACTTTTGAAACTGTGACTATTTTTTAATTACCACATATAAATCTGACTATTTTTGAATTTCTCCCGCATCGCTCAGCATTGTCTGCTACGTTTTACATGGCTCAATTACGTGAACCAATAAGAATAAATGGGCCTGCTTTTGCTGCAAATCCATTTGCACTGTGCCAAACGCCATACACTCTCCTAATATTTTTTAAACCAATAAGAAACAACTTTAGAGAATCCAAAAAAGCAAATGATCCTTTGGACTTTTGGAGATAGTCTTTGATTCAGAATATTACTTCGAAAATGCTATGAGAATAACATGTTATTAAGTTTTATAATACATAGCTATTCACAGATGGATTTAAAACTTAAATTTATTGGGTTCAAAATTTAAATTTAATGAATTGAATATTTAAGGTTGTTACCATACTTTAGAAGTTATAGGTTCATAATTTACTTTTGTTGACATTTTAGTGAATTGACTAAAAAGCCATGATATTTCGTTTATTCCCTAAAACTCTTTCATGTGAACATGCTTGCCTGTTTTTACATGGTTATTATTGTCTTCCCAGTCATTTCAGTCACATTTTTGTACTAAATATGAGCACACATGCATAACTTGGAAAATATGGGAACTCCTTTTCCTACTATAAGTGAGCCCACATTAACGTACGTAAATTCTTCTAATCAAATTTAATTGAAAATTTTGTGGATCGCGTAGTTTATGTGAAAAGCTAAAACAAGTGTGCCACTACTACAATTACCATGTTTTTCTTTTTGTCAATCATAATTGGAGCTCAAAAGAAAATATAGGATCAGATAAATAATAAACTAGACAAATGAAGAGAATGTTAACATATATATCTCTCTTCTATCTTTAAGAGATATCAGATTTAATTAGGTTAAACTAGGTATTACATACTAGGTTAATTATTTAAAAGAAAGAATCATACAAAAATTATTTTCAGAGTTCTTACGTGTAAAATAAAAATCTCTTCTTAGTTTCACCATAAAACTAAAAGAAAATTTGGTGTAAATGTATACTATGGATAAACTGCTGTAATGCGTATCCTTTTTTTGTTTTTCTAAATCTGTTGGCTAAATTTTCTAAGCATATATATGTGTCCACAAGTATAAAAATATTTCAGTTAAAGTTTAGTAGAAATGATATCTTGTAAAGACTTAGGGCTGCTAATAGGCATATAGTTTGTAAAGTAATTGAAGGAGACTACACTTAATCAACTATCATATGATGCCACTTTGTGTTAGAAATTGTTGGTTTGATTTATGAAGACCTATCTTTGCATCTACACCAGTTGTCCATTAATTTGCCAATTGCATTTCTTAGTCCATTGCCTAAGTGCATTTCGGTAATGTGCTTAAAATTTGCTTTTGTTAATTCGATAAATTGATAAGAATAATTAGTTCATTTAGAAAATCCCTTCCCTCACCACATTTACTAAGTAGCTTTAAAAGCTTTTCATATTGTACTAGAATATCATTAATTTCATTATGATGATTTTGTAAATGGGAGTTTGATTTATTTTTGGTAACATAGGTCTGCCACGTTTTGAATTTAAAAAATAAAACTAGAATTTTAGGTTTAACAAAGAATAAAAATATAGGAATTATCTCTAAAGGAGGATAGATAAGTTTACAAATGTTGGGCCCGTGCTAGCACGGGCCTACCCTCACCTAATCTTCTAAGAAGCCACTCTATGTGACCGGGGCGGATATAGTATAGAAGTTATTGATTTATCTGAACTTCAACTTGGATCCTATATATGTATTAAAAATTTTATTAAATTGATTTAGTTGAACTTTAGCTTGGATCCTATATATGTGTTAATGTTTTATTAAACAAGCATAGGTAATTGATTCTGAGACCAATAAATCAAATGGGATGTGATATAAAGATAGATTTAGGATTTAAATTTTATAGGTTCGCATACCAAATTCTATCACATCGCATCTAACTTACTAGGTTCAAAATATATTTTTGCACTTATGTAATGGAACTTTCAACACATATACATGGTCTAAGCCAATGTTACACGGTTAAGATGAACCCATAAAATCTTCATTGTCTCTGCCCTGATGTGATAGAATTTTCAACTTGAACTTATGAAATTTAAATCTTGCATTTGCCTCTGTACGTGACTACCTACTAAACTAACTAAAAAATAGAAATCGTCCAAAATTCTTGTTTTATGATCCTAAAACGCAAAAAAGGGAACAATCATAGCGAAGGAATGACTATTGTTCATTAGGTCGTTTCTGACGGGCTCACAAATTTTTAGACGATTTGGAGCCTGACGCCTGAATACATGAAGATGGTGTGGACATTAGCACACGAAAAATGAAAACCGTCTTAATTTCCTGTTTTATGACCTTAAAACGCAAAAAAAAAATAGGAAACAATCATGAAGAATCAATGAATATTGTTCATTAGGTCTTTTATGATGGACCCACAAAATTTTAGGCGATTCCGAGTTTGTCGCATGAATTTATGAAAATGGCATGAATATTAGCACATGAAAAATTAAATATCGTCCTAAATTCATGTTTTATGACTCTAAAACGCCAAAAACGAGGAACGGTCATGGCGAAGGGATGACTATTATTTATTAGGTCCTTTTGGATGGGCCTACAAGTTTTAGGCGATTCGGAGCTCGTTGCCAGAATTCATGAAGATGGCGTGGACATTAGCACACAAAAAATTATAAATCATCGTGAATTTCCGTTTTATGACCCTAAAACCCCAAAAACGAGAAACGGTCATGGCGAAGCAGTGACTGTTGTTATGACTATTGTTCATTAGATCATTTCTGATGGGCACACAAAATTTGCGATTTAGAGCCCCTCGCCCGAATTCATGAAGATGGCATGGAAATCGTTCTAAATTCATGTTTTATGGCCTTAAAATACCAAAAAATGAGGAATAATCATGGCGAAGCGATGATTATTGTTTATTAAGTCGTTTCTAATA